AGTTCATCGAGTTCGAGTCAAAGCGAAAAAAAAATGGACAAAAGACAAATATTTTTCCGGAGGACAGACGCACTCGCGATTCCGCATAAACAAACAGCCGGTCGATTGGCAATTATGTTTGTTTACACGGTCGTTTGGATTTATTATTCCGTTGATTGCGTCGGCGTACGGATAGGTCTCGTCGAAACGCAGTCGGCTGCGGTTTTCCGAAGTTCTTTTCCTTCAGTAGGGGTAAATAGCCTTTGCGGATTGTAGTTTACGATCGGACGCCTATTAAAAGAAGTAGTAAGTGGCAGCGAGTGAGCGAAGTACGACTTGCTTTCGGGTTTATTTCCTTAGTCGTAATTATTTTTAGAAACCATATTTTGCGGTGCGAAATAACCACGTATCCCATCTGCATTTGAGGAAAGAAAATAAATAAGCGATATGTGATATCATAAAGGCCATAACCATAATATAGCTATAAAAAGATTACGGTAGAAATTGATCGACAGCGCAATCGTCTGCTTTTCTTTATCGGGATTGCCAAGAGCATGTTCCAGGCAACACTACCTTTATATTTTTATCAGAAATCGCATTTTGCAGAAGAGCAGTAAAAACGAAGAAATTGGCTAGTAAAAAAATCGCTCATGGCTCTGTAACCATGTAAGAGTCATAGGATGTCTTTCGCGATTTCAAAATCGCTTTATGCCATGTAAAATTTTGTATTAAAATGAAAATATAACTAACTTAAACTAACCAAAGCATCTTTGTACCTGTGGCGTAATATTTAAAAAGCGAAGTTAAACTTTTAAAATGTTTAATTTGGTATACCCTGTACATATTCATATTGATTTTTTTATTTTAAAAATTATGTATATAATTTTGCTACCCCCAAGGTACAAACTCCGAAGCATACAGCGGCTTTTTATAATTTTATAACGAAATTGTATTAAACTCTACTAAAATACCTCTGCATATTACGTTAAATAAGGAATTTTTTAACAGATAGACGTCCTCGTTAATATGGACTGGTAGTTACACGTTTTCCTATAAAACGGATTATCATCGATCATTCTCCAAATAAATCCGAAAAGAGAACGGCTATCGGAAATCCAGCCAGACTGCAGTAATTAGCCCAAACCTTCTGCTAAGGGTGTTACAAATAAGTTTACAGCCCATTAACCAAAAGAGCGAGCGACAATAGATAACCGAAGATATTGAATATCACCTTAGTCGCATACAATAAAATACGGCGTCATTTATAAACAATTCACGGTGATGCTCATAAAATTTCACATCCAAGTAATTTTAACTATTTAAAGATTTAATTTTAATTTCCAAAGTTACAAAGTATTTGATTTATAAGTATATGTTTGTTTTCGCGAGAGTGCGATTTGAAAGAATTCGGATATCCGGTATAATAGAATATTATGCAACATTCACACGCTAATCTTAGACAAGAGTTTGATTTCGAATGAGCGGAGCGAATATTTAATAAACGAGTCATTACATAGTATTATTATGCAACAAGTGTGATAAACGGCGGAGCAAATGTTTAATAAACGAGTGACTTAAAAAGTTTGCCAAACGTAGTGCGTGTCATGAAGACGTGGGTATTCCCGGACAAAAGCCTAAATAATACCAGTGGTTAAAAACTACCCAAAAACATCCAATCTCTTCCAAACCCGCTCACACTTCATCGGTGCATTTTGTATTTTGAAGCAGGGAGTAGAAAAACTAATATTTATGATCATTGATTGAATTTTGTTTAGCTTTCTGGTCTTCGAGTTCATTATACTTATTTTACTAGAAATCCTGTAACAAAATTGTGTGCACAGACATGGCTGAGGGACTTTGTAATATGGACTCCGTGTGGTACGCCTAACATAAATATTTCGAAAATATCACTTCGTTGAGTTTCATAGGCGACGTGATAACAAGATTTTATTCATATCTATTACGTTGCACTACGTTGCAGGGATGGGCTTTTTTCGTGTACCGCTATATATTTGGATTGGTTGCTTTTAAGCCAGTTTTATTCCTATATTTTTGTATTGTCAAACAATTTTGTTAGTTCTGTTCTGTACTAAACTTATTTTTAGTATATCGGATTTTTGTTGGCACGTGCAGTTTATTACTCTAGAAGCCATGTTAAATAATAGATCGGAATTTATCTTATTTTAATCACTGTTAGCTTACGTCATTCCGAGCGTCGTGCCCGTGTGTTTAATAAACAAAAGCTTCAGTCGTAGTTGATATTATCTTCCGAAATTGTTAATGTTGCACTTTTTATATAAATTTTATATATATTTAATTCATCATAGTGTAGTTTAATTCAGATAGTGTGTCAGTGTGTAGTGTTATTATTTATAGTTTTTTGATAGCCTCAGTACGTCAGTAAAAAAATTGTGCTAATTGTGCAAATTCTATGCACGTATTGAATATTACACGCTGTTATTTATATGGCTGCCCACCGATGGATGATGTTCAATTCTTTAATGTTAACATTAACAATATTATTATTAACGGTGTTTCTCTTGCTGTTTCGGAGATCCTAATGGCGAAAGTTAAATTTGGAACGCTCTCTATACATACAAATTTAAAAAATGATAGCGACGAAATATTTAAATTTACAAGGCCAAGTTATATTTAGAAAAACAATTGTTCTCGTAATGCCGATTTGATATGCCGGGCATTTTCGAGATGTACAAATCTAAAATTATTTATCTATTCAAAATGGGTCTTCTCCGAATGAATCGAATCCGCAGGCTGGGGTATTTTTGTCTGGTGTAAAAGTAACAAAACAACAAACTGTGTGCGTCTATTTTGATTTTATAAAATGAGTGATACTAATTCGTATTTAAAACACCCAATAAAAAATTTTGCATTTCTAGTGCGGCCCTCAAATAATCTCCACACTTCCCAGCATTCCTGTAAAAGAAAAATTGGCTTTAAACTGATTATTTCAACAATAATCTTCTGACTAATTTAAAAACAAATTCAGTCGATTTGACATTTTCACTGGTTGAACTGATTACTTGATGAAAATCCATTTATCAAAATAAATAAAAACTAAAAGTTCAGATTTTCACTAAATTATATATTTTTAGATGACAATTGTTTCGACAACACCGTCTCTTTATCAAATCAAATCACATTTGATAAAGACACGGTGTTTTCGAAACAATTGTGATGTAAAAATATATAATTTCGTGAAAATCTAAACTTTTAGTTCTTATTTATTTTGATTTTCACTTGTTTATCCAAAAATGTAACTTTCTATTTTAATTGAAAATAACCACATCAAGAGGACATTTTTTAATTAGTGTAAAATATTCATTGCACAAATACAGGGTGCGCGTAACCTTAGTCAGATATTACATTGTTGAAAAATTGGCTTTAAACTGAATTCTTAACGACAATCTTCTAACTAAAGTTTAAACAAACCCAGTCGATTGGATCTGATATTTGTACTAGTTTATCAAACAATGTCACTCTCTATTTTAATTGCCAATAATCTCATCAGGAGGATATTTTTTAATTGATGTAAAATATCGATTGTCAAATAATATACACGATGCGCGTAACCTAAAAATCAGATTTAACTTTCTTTTAATTCTTTGGAACAATTTCACTCCCTGACTATTATAGAGTCATGTTAAGTAAATATCTCACTGATAAAGCGTAGGTTGTTTTTTTAATCAAAAATGCTGACTGTCCTCCACTTATTATTCTCCACGGACCCTTCCTTTCTTACATAAACATACTTAAGCATATCTTTCATCGTATTGCTTACAACGTTATCGGTTCGGCGTTAACGTGAGAATATCGTATACTAAAGTAACACTGGCGTCTCATTAGGTTACGCATATTTCTTTCATAGTTTTATATCTAAACCGCCTCCGTACACTATTGACAATATTTTTACAAAATTTGTGAAAGAAAATGCAATTACTGGGTTCACCAACATGCTAAAAATTATAAAAAAAAACATAACAGACAGTTCGGAAAACCTCTTGCGAATATCTACTTTTATGCCTCTTATCTTTTAAGCGTATCACTGTGTATCACTATTACTATAGGTTGAGCAAAAACATAACTTCATCCGCTTCTTTTGTGCAAAATGAATTTTGCCCACAGTGTATATTGTTCATGTAAGTTTACAAAAGATTTGCAGAATGGTGCTTCGAACACCAGTCACAAGCGACTGACGTAACATAACTATTTATCTGCAATGTTACGAAACACTGATGTCGCGCTTAGCAAACATGCGGAAACTGCCTTCCCATGAAGACTCGAAAATAACATGATCATTTCACGGATCATCAAATCTAATTATTCTTGTTGGATTACTGTGTTAGGTATTTACATAATGTCAATATCCCGAACGTTTTTCTTTTATTTGTTATCAATTTTTTTAAAAAAGTAATGTGACAGATAGAAGCCCATATGTGCCTGTAAAAAACAGTCACTTAATTCTGCGGCAGCTCTGAAATATCGTTACCTGAATGATATACCCCTTTCTTTTTCAGTGGTTGATATAGGAATGTTATTATATGAACTGGGACTACCGACAATCGAAAAAATTTATGATTTAAACCCAACATTAGTCCACATTTTTAATGTTCTAACATAGCGACATCTGCTAGTGTACTATCCAACCTGAAAAATTCTTTCACACCGAATTACAGGTTTTCAACTGGCCTTCGATTTTCAGCCCAAAGAAAGCTCCACAAACGCAGTCCAGAAAACTAACTTTGAATCAAGCATTTTATCAGAGATGGCGCCGTCATTACGTAGAGCAAAACCCGGCTCCAAAATCAGGCTCCATATCAAAAAATTGAATAAAATTTAATCGTTGTTTGATTTTATAAAATATATTTTTGCACTTGCAAATAATATCAAAAGGTTTTTTTTCTGAGGTTTGTATTATTTTCTTTGGCGTTTATTACAGAACGGCAGCTTTTGAATGAGACGTCTGGCAACAGTGTCACGCCTTCGTTTCGTTGGCCCAACAGCATTTGTTTTTCTCGCAGTGCGACAGTGCACGGCTGGGATTGTCGGTGAAAATCGAAATCTCAAATTTTTGAAAAATCTGACATTTATTCAAGGGACGTCCACATTACTATTTTCGCTATGATACGGTCGGTAGCAATCTTTAAAGCGTTCCTACACCTGTGATTCGGTTGTGTTTTATTATAGTTAAATAGGACACTATTATGGGAATTTCATCTTGGGAAAACGTAAGTTGTATGTTGTGTTGGAAATGTAATTTTCTCGGTAGTTCTATTTGGTGGCGGATCCATTTAAATTTGTGGTTCTAAGTGCTGATGTCGCGCCAATTTCTAATATAAGTTTGATGCAAAAATTTGTCAGTACTAACAAGAATATATGAAAATTCTTTTACTACTTTCAAACAACAATTTCAGTGATAGGGGTCAAAATTCTTAATCACTTCGATCAGGACGATCAGTCAGAAATTTAAAATCTTTCTGTGGGTTATTTTAATCTAATTCGAATCAAAGGTTTTGAAATTACCCAGTACCTTATAAGGAAATAGAAAACCGTCCAGAGACTACAGTTAAATCAAATCAGTATTAGAAATCCATGTTGCCCCGTCATATCTAAAATTGTTTTAGTGAAATTCAAATCGTAGAAATCAAAAGTTTTTAAACAATTTGAAATAACAGAACAGTGTTAGTGCACAATACCTATGTTTATGGTTCCTCAAACATATATAAACTAAAGATACGAATCAATAATTATCATTACCATCACCATTTAAAAATGCGATGTTTTCAACTCACAAAGTTTGTGTTGCCTTGCATACTTTTTGATATATTATAAAGTCGACAATAAAAAAATGAATTTTAATCAGTCAATCAACCTTCAAAGTGTGTATTGTTCGTATTATGGCAAAGCAACTTTACCTAAAAGTAATGCTTAAGTATGAGATCAGAATAGTACTCAAATTGATTAAATTCCGAGCCAAAGGGTTAGTTATTTCCCAAACAAGTCTGATCCAGGATAAACTCTCAATAAATTAAAAATCTATCTAATATTCTGATCGATTCTAATAGTACCGTTTGTATTCTTATTAAATAAAACAAATTAAGTTAATCCAAGAATTTCTTGTATCGTGGCAGACCAGAAAAATTCCGCTTTAAATTCCTGATTTCGGCCAAATAGTTAATAGAGTATCGAATTAAATTTGGTTTTTACTAAATGCAATCCAATGTTGAGTTTGAGTGAATAAAAGGATCTACAAAACAGAAAAGGTACTTAAATAGGAACAACAAAAGAAAATAATTTAGAACACTGGTAACCTGTAACCTGTCCTTACATTGAATTACGGTTTTTTATTCTTTAAATTATGACTGTAGGAACTTTGCTTTCGTCCTGTATGTACACGCTTTGTGAATTATTAAGACCATCCGAGTTCAAGTACAAAATTACGACGTCTGAATAAGGAATACTAAATTGATTCGTATGCAAAGGGTATGACGCCACAAATTCCGCTAGAAATACTAATAGTCGTTCTGATTATTTTAAGTGTTTATAGAACAACTAAGCTTGCAAACGTGCCTTAAAAGAAGTGAAACGGCATTTCGAGCCACCGATTTAATTTGGATCGGTAATAATTGGGACAGTATGTTTCACGTTTCAGTTTCTATATAATCCACAAAATATTACCTAATCAAATTTAGATTTAACCCTTATTAGAAGAATTCTTGTAGTTACAGCGCTTAAGAGTTTTTGTCCGATTGTTGATACATGTTCATGAATATAATATGTCTTTAGAATCGGTTTCTTTCTGTAAAAGGTTGAGTAATTGTTAACTATATTTTTCCCCCACTTTATAAGGTCTTGCAAGACAGATTCAGAAATGTATAACAATCACGACAATACACAATTTTACACTTTATTTTGACACAATTTAACCATTTGATCTTGACATTCGATTCGAAATATGATTTAAATAAACGTATTTCATAGAAACTAAAAACGTAAAAACTGTATCAGAAAAACTAAGAGAAATTGACAGTTTTTCCTATGTGTTAGTACAGTTAAATTACAGGTTAAATACTTAATTCGAAAACGAAATATTTTCTATGTTAAGGTTAGTTTTCCTTCTAGTTGCCTGCTAAAGATAACACGCCATTTGTTGATTTGGTTCCGCATCTGTGACGGCGAACTAACAGACCTGTTCATTAGTGATTAACTTCGTTTGTGGAGTGTGCTTACTATATAGTTATTAGGTTGACGATCTGTCAGCTGCCATGTTGTTTGTTGACTGCCGCAAGGTCATTGGTTGAAAACGAAATTTTAAAACTGACGCGTGCGCATATTGAATGAACATATGGTGGTTTCCAATCAGTCAGTAACTAATTACAATGACGACACTTTGTAGTTTGTCGACATGGGTGCAGAACCAAGTCATCAACTATTTTACTTTCAGAAGGTAGAATCATTAATGGAATTGTCATATTGCATCATTATGCTACATCTAGAAGACGAATAATAAACAGAAAGTTATTGGTCAAAACAGTAGCTCGTTTTAGAACATGAAATCCGAAAGTGCTTAGTGATTACTGTTTTTTTTTTCAAATCATAGGTGCAATTCTAATCAGCAGTAGTAATACACCTCGCTTAGCAGTTTCTTCTGGTCAGATCTGTGCGCAGACATCCTAAAAACCAATTCCGCAAAAATAATTACCGCTAGATATGATACTACTAGTATTACTACTATTTAATAACTATTTTGAATTATTTTCCCCACGTATAACCCATTGATATAGTTAATTTCATTTTAAGACCACGTGCATACAAAAAATTGCATAATTTAAATGGGCGTGGGTGTAATATTCGGCTCTACATAATCACGCTTATTTTTTAAGCGCTTTTACTTAGCAACATTTACGCCCATTACGAAAGTCTCGAGTGCCAATTATGAGATAATTACCACTGAGCGCATTCAACGGGTGTCATCTGCTTAATGTGCTGATATTTTTTAGAACTATTGCCCAACGTAATTTCGGGCATCCTACGCTTCCTATAATGATGTGAAGTGGAAGACCATTTTTAAAGGATTATTGTCAGAAATTAATTTAAACCTGCTCCCGAGCAGTAAACTGTAAAAGTCCCATGAAAAGTACCAAACCGAAATGAAGGTCACTTTGAACGAATGCTATATACAAAATGATGACCTGTTTTAGACTACCTGGAGTTCTACAACATATTAGTATTAAAATCGAAGCTGAAAAATTTAAAAATTGATTAGTATTAAAATCGAAGCTGAAAAATTTACGTTAACTGTTTGCATGGCGGCATGTTTCTTTTTTTGTAATTTTTTAAAATTAAGTAAATGTATTTGACGGTAAGGAAGTCGATAAGCAATGTCTGCTTCCCGTTAGGGCGCCACAAGGTTTAAAAATTAACAAATCTAACCAAACCTTGAAATGACTCTAAAATTTATTAAACCAGGAGTAAACTAAATGAAACTAATACGCGGCACGTTTATTAAAATAATTCCGAATGTCATTATAAAGTTGTCCAATGTTCACGAGATAGAAAACTTGTTCCGTTGTTGTAATTAATCGAAGGTATATATATATATATATATATATATATATATATATATATATATATATATATATATATATATATATATATATATATATATATATATATATATATATATATATATATATATATATATATATATATATACCGGGCGTCTCATCGAAAGCAGCATAGCAAAAAGGCTCTTGTTTGACGATGGCTTCTATCATTTTAAAAATATTTTTCTACTCCCGTCTGTAAAATACCTAATTACCCACCAGTCTGGTGTGCGGGAAGCGTCACTTTACCACGTCAGTTTCGTTTCCAATGAATCCAAGCCACTTCGTACATTTGGGAGCAATCGGATGTTTTCGGAGATATTTCCCACGCTTTGAATTTTGATGTTCGTCAATTCTGACGGTCATGCCAATGAATTTATTTGTGTTGTTTTTTCGAAAATGTACCAAAAAACTAACGGTAGTAGAAAAAGGTATAGTGTCCAACACGTTCGGTCATGTCAGTGAATATATTCGTATTTTTTTGCAAAAATGTATCTAAAAACTAATACACAGAAAAATGTTGTGCAATATATCAGACAATTTAAATACTACGTGCTATAAGCTAAATTGAAAATCTAGTGGACTAGTCGGTGAGTAAAGTGACATTTATAATTTAAGTTTCCCACGGAAACTTTACATACCGTTCTCATGAACTTTAGTGGTTTTTACAGTTTTTATATTAATATCTTGCCAAGACGATCAAATATCTATGTCTCAACAGTACAAACAAAATAAAATTAAAGGTTGGCTCCTGCTTTTTCTTGCTTATATGACCTTAAAAATGTAATCCTCTTAAATGCTTTTTGTTTTAGACTTCAGGAACTGCCATACTGCGACTGTTTTTGCAGCTTGTAAAAATGGAGTACCCTTTTCGTTACACATGGGATCAACGTCGAAATGTTTTGTGAATATCATTGCAATAACTTTAAGTCGACCCCAAATTGCCAGCCGGTGAAGAATTGCTTGGCCGTCATTTCCCCCCCCTCTTATTAAGGATGATTTTTCTTCAAATTACAGTCTTTTGCTTTAAATAAGCTACTCATTGATCAATTTTAACATTTAAATAGACAACATAACGTCTTAAAATTGTGTTTATTCCGTTGTTTATAAGAGATATCCAATATTACATCTCTCTCTGTCTAACACACACAGTTAAAAAGAGACAACAACAGCAGAACCGGTCGGAAGAATAAACGAATAGGTTTAATGGCAACTCGCAAATATTTTATTTGGATAGTACGAAATTTAGCAATCCGATAATCTGTTGTTATTTTTAATTTGCTAAATTGTGATTTTTTCGTGACGCTCGTGGAAAAAGTATAGTATGCGTCGCGCTCGTGCCAAATAAACTCGTGAGTCAAATGCCGTTTACCGCACTTGTTTCATAATATACATTCATGTTATTTTCCTTCGGAGGATTTTGTTTTGTTTTTGCAAAATTTTAATGTGCCTCGGGTAAATAAAAAAATAAAAGCAGTCTTATTCTTCTTCACACCTTAAAATGCATTTTACTTTCGAATTCATTTATCGTCAAGCTCTGGTTATAACTAACTAATTTATTTATTTTGATCAATTGCTTTAGGACAATTTGTATCGAGATTTATACTATCAGGCCAATCGGT